AGTTCATCTATATTAGCTCAGTAAATGTTTCAAAGCTGACCAGGACACTGACTTAGAGAACTTCCTTTTAAAACTAGCAGGAATTGTATGAATAAATCCCTTAACAAGCTTTCAGATCTCCACCCATGAATTAAAAAAAAAAAAATTTGGCTGCAAATCCTGAAAGACTTCAAGGGCTCTGGAATTTCACCAGAAATACCCACAACATCTACATTTACTGTGTGCAGCAAAGCATTTCTGTTATCACCCAGAAACCAGGAGGTGAGAACTCGAGAAATAGTGAAGTTCTAATGAATTTTTAAAAGTCAGTTAGGAGCTCTGCATGGAGATTTGAACAAGTTCAGGGTTTTGTGCAGACTTCTTCCATCTCAATTGTCAACTGCTTGCTTGAATGTGTTGATGAGGAAATCCTCAGAGCATGCAGCAGCAGCAGCAGCCCGCTGCAGGAGCATCATTAGGAATGTTCAAAAAAAAAACCTTCGGTGCCTGAATAGTTCTTTCCTTTCCTCAAGTTCCTTAAGATAAAAGGAAATTAATGTGACAGGTTCTGGGGAGCACAGACAATGCAGCTTTTCTATACTATCCCACCCTAGAACACCCATTTGCTCATTTCTCAGCTGACTGAAGACCAGCTTCTTCTAGTACAGCTGCTTCCTCCTACAGGGAACGTTCATTTCCACTGTTGCTCTAACAATTAGAAGACAACACTTACACTCTAAGTACTACAGGCCTTTATACCACAGTATAGACACACAGTATCACCACCATAAATCCACCTCCACCATAAATTTCCAACTTAAAAGGCAGTACAGAGATCAGTCGTCACAAAGTCTGAACACAGCTCTCACAGCATATTCTTCCGTAAGAGCTGGGCCAATACAAATGTTATTAAAAGCAAAGGAATAGGGTCTGGAATAGCAATAGAAACATATATTCAGGTTATGAAAACCAAACAAGCAAATGTCACTCTTGAAAGAAAATATTAATTTAACTGTCTTCCACGTAGGCAAAAAAGCAACAAGTAACATATTCCTTGATAAAAAATACTTCTTGTAAACCTGAAAGCAAGACTAAACAGAAAATACAGGATTAAGCCCTCATGAGGAGCTTCAAATTACTTGAATTCTGAATCCTCACCTCGTTTTGTGGGGAGTTTCACTAAGTACAACAGGTGTGTGCTTTGTGCAAGGGTGTTTATAGGATCAAGACTCGACTTGCTGAGCCATTATTTTACTTGTGCTCAGGAATCACTCCAAAGCAAACATGAGAGAGTAGTGCTTAATACAGCAATACATGTTCAAAATTAATCAAATGCATAATCAGTTTTAAGCAATGAAATTTTGGACTTAACTGAATTTCAGAGGTCACCCAAGTTCAGCTCTACCCTTCAGCTGATCATCCAGAATTCTTTACTGCCTCTCTACTCATCAGTAGTGATGGATAGGTAACCTCAAAGTCACTATCACGCAGCTCAAGAGTCAAATGTTTATTTCAAAAGTAAGTATTTCCAGAATGAATTTAACATCATATATATTGTTGATAGTACAAATAAGCCAACAACACAGGAAGTCCTTGCTTTTCTGTTCTAAATATAACATTTTTCCACAAAGGGATATGTTTGCTCATATGTAAGAAAGTAGAATGAAAGTGGAGGTCCCTATCACTTCCACTTCCATGTACACAACAAAATGGGATCGAACAAATCTTATCTCCTAAAACAAATGTTCTGGAATCTCACATTCATTCTCCTGTCACAGGAGTCAAAATTATTTTCAGCTTTTAAACAAAAAATTATCTGGTGTTTATGAATGTGTACAACATTTTTAAGGATGGTACCAAGACCGTAAATCATCATCTTTTAAATTTTTGCTTTAAAACTACTTCTTATATTTTTCCATAATACTTCTTACTATGTACATATACAGTTTCTCTTGTGTCAATGTCAACAGGCCAGTATTTGATACAACTTTCTCCCAAAGCAAGCCAATCACAAAAAAAAAAATGCATGTGTCCATGATGCTTTATTTTACCTTCTCTTCATTTATGAATAATTCCTGAAATTTGAGCAATCCACCATAAGAAAGAGAAACAACCCCTAACAACAAGAATTTAATCTACCCAAAATCTTCCAGAAGGGTCTCCAGAGTACAGGACAGCCTAGCGTATCATGCAGCAGACTCCAAACCACTGAAGCAAGCGCAAGCTAGATCGGAAGAGTTAAATAAAGCAGCTAAAATTCAGCAGCACTGCAAGCTATTCCAGACTACGGTTACTATAACCTACACTGGGTGTCCTCTGCATAAGCACCAGTGTGACTTTGTGGACTGCTGAGACTCAGTCTGTTGCAACTGGCATAAGTTGCCACAGGCGAGTAATCACAAGAAACTGACCTTGGCAAAAGCACATTTTACACTTCACTGCTGTTCAACTGCGTTATACTAAAGAGAGAGCAAGTGAGCACAAGCAGAAGGGGGAGGGAGAGAGAACAAAAGGGGACAGACAGCATAAAAGTGAACGCAGCCATTTTCAGCTTTACCTGCATTTAGGATTTTAAGAGAGTGCATCACACCTCCAGCCGCACAACCTACACATGGTTACATCAACTCTGCATGGTATCATTTTTAAACCATCTGAGTCTGAGGGGATTTTTTTGGGGGGGAGGAGGAGAAAGAAAGGAGACTAAAGACTAAATTAGAAATTAGTATCTAAAAATAATTCTCCCAACATGGAGGGGGGGGAATATAGAAGACAATTACAACTTCACACTTTCCTACCACCGGATTACCGCGTACACAAGGATTTTTAAATTGTTCTTTCCTCCTGTTTGGCTACACCTGTTGAGAGTACATTTTTGAAGCATCAGCAACTAATAAAGCCTAAATATATTCCATGAGGTGTGAAGCAAGATGTCTTAGTCCTGATTTTTAAAGTTTCAGCTCAATCTTACCTTCAGAATCACTCTCAATAGCCCAGCAGCAATTTGCATGAACTAGCACAGCAAAATCCCCACCAGAGCACATACAGTTGTGTCTGGCCTTTCTCAACCATCTGTGGTCTCCACTGGTTTGGATCAGATATTTCCAGTTAAATATTTTTCTTAGTTTCTGCATTACTTTTCTTTGGTATTGATTACTGTATCTCCAAAGAAACAAGACCTAGCAGAGCAAGATGGCCCAGGATCCCATCATTAGTGCTAACTCACATCCTGCCCAGATTTCACAGCAAGTTTAACACAAGGATCTAACCTTGCAGGTATGCTGGGTTTCCAGGACATTTGTTGGTTGAACCAAAACATGAACAAGCTTCATACGAGTTCCAAAATACCAAACCACTCTCCACTTGGGAAGTGTACAAGGTACGCAACCCTAGACAAAATAAAATGAGGCTACCTACATGCATTTTACATCTGCTTCCTTACCACTCTTAGGTCAGTGACCCAAGGACTCCATGCAGCTGCTCTTCCAGATCTTGAAGTTTGCTTTTCTCCTATGCAGACAGTTTCTCTATTCCTCATCTGGTTCCAGGATTAACACCCAAGCCTTTCACATCTCTTGTCTTCACGAAGTCTCTACTCCTCTAATAGAACTTCTCTTTCTCCATTTCAGTCCTCTAAATGTCATTACTACGAGTAAGCAGGAGTGGCCTTTTTTGGACACAGCCATGTTGTTCCCTTGAACCATTCCCATCTGACAGAGTCTCCTCATGGTTTAATGACCACCACTGTCACTGGCCAGGGAGATGCAAGACTCAGCCCTGACAGCAGATGGCCGATTCACACACTCTGACGTTCAGCAATCCAACAATGATAGGATCACGCTCAGCCTATAAATTATGAAAGCAGCAATTCTATGAAGCATGACCTAAAATTTCAAGGGACTGAAGTATTTCTGAGTCTGAACTTTAGATCTGGGTCAAAAAGCTGTGAATCTGAAGAATTTTAATCATCTCATCAGACTGTAGTTCTCTCTCACACAAAAGTATGATGTCTGGAAGGCCCACAGGCATGTTTCCTGACACCAAGGTAGGACTCCGTCTCAGAGGGTAAGATGGGCCACCAAAACACTCACTGCTTCTGTGCAGGGTGTAAGAAACTCTACGAGGGTCTAGACAGAGAGCAAACTGATGTCGGTCACATTTTTCTGACTGTGCAATTGAGCACAGAATAGAATTATTAAAATTTTTATTTACTAAGTCTTACAATAACTAGAAAAAGATAAAACTGAAAAAGCACACTAGTTCTATAGCAATTACTGTGGGCCTTCAGGTTGGCCATGCCATGGTCACCATTTCTCACAACGATGCACAGTAAAAGGAAGAAAATGGTGACAAAAATTAGATACCTGAAAGGTTACTCACATCCACAGGAAGAGTGAATCTTTGTTTATGCTAGCCCAAAAATAAGCATATCTTTATACTACACAAGAGCACCCTCAGCTGAAAGCAAGAATTTGACATCTCTTACTTCTTAAGTGCATATCCTGAATAGTTTACTGAATTAGTCTCTGTCTGTGCAGCTCCTTCTGTCTCTCCCAAACCACACTGTATTTTAAATGTATGTGTCAATCTATGCTGCTTAAGCCATTTGATGTAATAGTTCACTGACTAGGATCTCATTTTCAAGTAATTCTTCTCATGAGGTAGAACAGAAACATTAATTGGGTCTTCCATATCCATGCAAGTAATTACCAATATGCTGGCTACTGTAGGCATCTCATTTCTCTCCCTTCTTCCTTCTCTACCTCTTTCACCTAAGAATTGCTTGAAACAAGTATATTTCCACAAAATACACAAGGGTTGACAAGTCAAAATCTTCCAACATCTAAAAATTACTAGAAAGGTTTAGTTACAGCTACAAATATGGATATGTATCTATACAAACACATCAACATCTCAAATATGATGTTGTGGTACAGTATGGCTGAAATGCTATTAGAATGTGATTAATTTGACCAAACTATTCCTCTACTGGCAAAAGATTAGCTTGTTTGAACCATATTTACCTTTCTCGAAGTGTTTCAGAAAGAAGTCTTGTCTAGTTTAAGTTCATCCAATACAACATAATGATATCCTTGAAGTCCAGAGAGTCTGAGGATTCTTCCTTTTCCTTCTAGTTTTGAATATTGAGTGTGATCTACAATAAAAAGAAAGTGGGGGAAAAGTTTGGCAAGTAATTCTTTATCTTCTCAGTGGGTCAGTATTTTCAAAACCCTTACTGAACACAGCTGTGACTCCAGAAGTTCATTCAATCAATCAATCAATCAATCAATCAATCAACCACTACCTGGTTTCCAGAAAGAATTCAAAGCATATTTATATCTCCATGTCAGATATTCTATCTCTCTCTTCACTGTCTTAAACACAAAGATATTAGAGTGAAAGGTCTGATTTCTTATTATTATTAAAAAACAAAAACAAACCAAAAAACCAAACCTGCAATGTACAGTTTCCATTTTCTGCTATAAATTTAAACTTACCATCGGGGAATTAGTAACTTTTTGTTTGAACCTATCTAAGAGAAAAGTTACAGTTTCTGTGCTGTGAAGTGGTAATACACTTCACAAAACCTGTACCAAGCCCTGAAACAGAAGTAAAACCATGAAAAACATGAAAAACAAAAACCCCTTCTCCTATTAGACACTTCAATTGTTCAACAGCTACTGGTGAATAAGTTTAGGCAAGTCCTCACCAACTTTATTGAATAAACATGTTTTAGTCTAGAAACAGCTGTGAAAAGTTCAGCAAATTTTATCCTCTGCACTGTTCTGCTACCTCTGGGATTTCCATTTTTCTAAAGAACATCACTTTTTCTGGATAGCACGTTGAGCCTGTTAATTTGCAGATACTCATGCAGTATAGTATCAGCTCAATCTTTCTAGCTCTTTCAGTAACAGCAAGCAAACTCACAAAAGCTTTGCCTCAGATTTCACAGGCATGTGTGTGCCTCTCTCTCAGTACCCAGGCTGACGTGCCAATATGTAGGATTAAACTTTTTCCAAGGTTGAATAAGCCACCATCTGTCTATCTTGTGTGGTGCTGTGCGCCATCCGGGAGACTTGTCCCTTAGAGCATGTTTCTACCATATGTCACTCCTGAGTGATCAGTTATGCCAAGACATTTGGGAAAAAATGACTAAGTCGAGCTGGAAAACCCTTTCCGAATTCCAGAGGAGGTTTGCCAAGCCTGTATTTGCAAATAACGTCGCATCCACCAGTTTTTGCATATACTGTATGTAACAGTAAATAACTCTTGCCCAAAGGGACATACATGATGTACCTGCCCTCCACTGTCCAGAACTCATGTACTTATCTTAATAAGGCAAGAGATTCATGTATGATGCATATTCAGGAAAAAATATAGGAATTTTTACAGTAACTTCTATGATTGCTAACTTAAGAAAGGAAAAAAACAGATGTAAAGAATATATTCCAAGAAAGACTCTACTTGTTATTTTAAAGCCACAACAAACCAGTAATTTCTTTCAAAATACTCAACTAAAATTACCTCAGGCAACCGAATGCAGGGCTTTTTCCTAATAATAACCATCTAAAGAGCTCACCTGCATGCAAAGTGATCAATTTAAACTAAATGTTAAAACTGCTGATGTAGTTCATGCAATTAGAATTTGTCTAATAAAGAACATGACTCTATCCTATTTTAGATTTAAAGGACCATTTTATGTTCCAATTCCTCAATTATTAAATTAAAACTCAAGCCAGCTTCACTCTTATGGCCAGCTCAAGGCTGTTCATTTACATAACTGACTTTCAAGGGCACTTGGTTATGCAGCAATTAATACCAGCAAAAAATCTATCAGATCTGCTACCTAACGTTAAGGAAGACATTCTTGAGAACATTAAAAGAAGAGAGAAATTAGTAAGTCATGATCACAGCCTACGTGAGTAAGTTTAACATTGAAAGAAAATCTATCCTAAGGGCAACAGAAGTATTAAATATCAGAAGACAAATTATAGGAATCATTCTGTTTAGTGACAAAGTAAGATGAGGAGTGGTACTAAAGTCCAAGAGGAAACACAGTCCTTTGTGTTTTGCCTTCAGAATTTGGACAGCCATTGAAAAAGAGGAAGACAATTCACTACGGAGATTTGTAGAACAAAACACAAAAAAAAGTAGAAAAAGTTCATGATAGACAAAAAAAAACTGAAAAAAGGTGATTATAAGAGGAAAATTAGGTAAATTATCACATCAGAATGGAATATGATTTATTTTTTGATGTATCTAATTTAAACCAACTCCCTATGCACAAAGAACAAAACTTGCAACATGAGGATGTTTCAGTCAGGCAACTAGTAACAAACTGATCTGTGAAGGAAAGAAAGCCTCATACTGCAACTTGGACGTGCTGAATGGAAAGAAGAGAGGAAAACAAATATAGAACAGTTAGGCAAATTTGGACTACTTGTCTACGTAATACCTAATGATTTTGAAGCCAACATATTTTTTTAAAGGCTCAGCTCCTTCCTGTCCCACTCTGACAGCCTGAGGCATTCACAATGCTCAGCCAAGGCAGACTGGAGATGCTGGTTCTACAGCACCAACTTTCTGCTAACCCTTCCTATCCCAAAGAGAAAGCTCTAGGCTAACGTGCACCTGCGCTAACGTTCTCCTTGCATCTGTTTACAGGTCCAAATAATGTTCCCTTTAGGATGAAATATGATCTAGGTATATGACTGACCAACTCAGAGAGTTGCAAATGGGGACAAGAGAGGAGAAGGCAAATTCATCAAAGCTGCCAATTAAGAAAATTCTTATTCTGGGTAAGAATTTGCGCTGTGAAACTGGTCAACAGCTTCCTCACAAAAGGAGCAGCTAGGTAGCTTCTGCACTGTCACCCCTTGCCAGAACTACAGCAGAAACAATAGTTTCACCTACAACAGGCATCATGAAGATCCACACATATCTATAAGGAAAAACTATGTGGTAACATAAAGGGAGAAAACATTAAAACATAGAGAAGCATGAAATCTTTTCTTTCCCTGTATGTTCAGCTTGAGGAGGGCTCAGGATCTGTCCCCCGTTTGTCCCACACTAGTGCAGACATACAAACAGTAATCCCATCAATCTTCAGAGATATGATATTTTTTAATTTGGTTTAATCACTGGGAGTTCCTTGGAAATTCTTGGCACACACACGCTGTGTGTTCTTTTGTGTTGCACTTCAAACATGTACTAACTAAGCCTCAACACCTTCTGTCATTCTCACAAACTTTTTAGGGAACTCTCCATGCTGCTGGAATTCATAAGCTCAGGATTCCGACAATCACATGCAAACCCATTTCTCTAAGAAAAAATTCACTCTGTGACACAACTAAATATTTCTGTTATATAAACGCAAAACTTAACGGAAACATCTGCTGATAAATATAAGACTAGAACACGTCAAAGGCAGCAACACTGAAATGTATTTCCACAGAAAACCTCATGTAGCAGGGATGACTTCAGAGACAGTGTTTACAGACAAGAAGGGCTCTTCAAGCACAAGGTCAAACCAGAAGACTTGTTATGTTCTCTGAGCCATCCATCTACAGGGTATTTCATGTTTTCCCACAATCATTCACCACAGTTCATTCCCCAGTGGAGACTCTGGGCCCTACTTCACAAGAGTATTTTTTTCAGTGGCCAAGACATAAGGGAGAAAATACACGCTGGTGGGAAGCTATCAAATGTCACTGAAAACTGCAAAGATGCCGGTCCTCTAATAAAAAAGTGCACTCTGAAAGCACTATGGTACTGCAACATAGAAAGAGTTTGTTTTGCAAAAGTCCTAATGCAACGCTAAAACAAAGCACAGTGTCTTCTCCTATGAATAGTCAGCATTCACAAACCAACTAAAGCAATCTCTACATGCAATGTAAAAGTAGCTTGGAGTCACCTTTGCTAGGGGTGGAAAAAGAGGGATTGTTGGATGGAGGGTGGGGGTAAGGCTTGCTTTTTCCAAGCACAGAGATAAAGCAGTTTTCCTCACGTAGCTTTCCTCTTCTTTACTTCCCCCCTCCTCCACACAAAACCCAAGAAAAGCTGCCATTGCTTTAGGTCAAAGGAAAAACAGGCCCAGCTGCCGTAAGCCAAACAACGTACAGGTTTGCTATCTCCCCTGCTGTTTTGGCTCGAGCTCTTCAGACTGGAAAATTCAGAAGCACGATCTCCCAAGCTCTATAAATGCCAGAACCATCTAAGAGGAAAATAGGACAAGGCCACCCCCAGGCAAGTTTGTACTAAAATCTGCTGGCTGCAAGGCAAAAATACAGTAAACATCGCATAGGGACAGACTGCTCCTTGGAAAATATTCCACAAGAACAATATAGCTTCCAAAGAAAGGCTGCGCTAAAGGGACTTCTGGAGGGGAAAAAAAATGCAATGTTTTAAAATCCTTGCGAGGAGTTAGCAAGCTAATGGCACACTCAACAACAAATTGTTTGACAGGCAATATGCTTTTGACATTAATCCAAAGAAGAAATGTAAAAGCAACATTGAATGTTCTCTACAAAGTGGTAACAAATTTGGTATCCTAGAATAGTTCTGCAGTTCACTAAGGAAATTTTGCTTTTGTCTTGACAATTGATTACATGGAATAAAACAAGTAAAAATAAGCAATTAAATCATCAATATCATCATCTTGTCCTTCCAGGAAGAACAATTTAGGTTAAATTTTTGCAGTCCTTGAGAGCTGAACTTTGCAACTGATTACTGTACGTTTTAATGTGCTCTATACTGACTCAACCTTGAAAAACAAGCCAAAAACAGAAGTTGAAACATCCTTTTTCCTGTGTAGCTCCAATTTGCAGTAGCAAGAAGCTAAACAACATGCTCTCCACCAGATGGCTGAAATAAAAAGAACACTCCTTCTGATTAATTAGGAAACAAATGAATCTGCTGTTAGCACAACAAGTTACCATCAGGAAACCTGGGTTCCCATTAAACTTTGATATTTGTTCTTTCTCTGCAACTGTGTTCAAGACCATCCTCAGATTTGTCTCTCGTTTCAGAAGCAAAACATTACACACCAGTCCATCACACACAGGCATCACACCAGCCATTGCACAACCTAAAAGAGTATTGGCCCTTTTCACAAACAACCTACATTACCAACTTCCTAAAAGAGAAAGTGTCCAT